CCGAGGCCACACCCTCCACGACCCCTATCCACTCCGAGCAGCCGCTAAAACGTGCGCGCATCGGGAACACACCCACACCCACGGGCAACGGCAAAACAGCGGCAATGGTAGCCTCCAAGCCCAAACCCATCGCGATGGCAGACGGACGCTTCGCTTGCCCGCACTGCCCAGCAAAGAAATTTGAGCGCTACCATGACTGTCGCCGACACATAGACATGAGCAAGCGATGTCTGGGATGGAACGGGATCCTCTATCCCTGTCGTCGCTGCGGAAAGAAGTATACGAGGCCCGACGCGGCGAAACGGCACATGGACGACAAGCCGAATTGTGGGCAGAAGGGTGGGAGGAAGAAGGGCGGTAAGAAGGAGAATAGGCCCAGAGACGACTGAAGGCGCACCTGTAGGAGAGCGTCATATGGATACGGCTCGAGAGCGTCGCTGCTCATCAGCCTTCGTCCTTCCAGCCTCTTCTTTGCGTGCTTCGTTGCTACTGCCATGTATGATTCCTCGTCGCAGCCGGACTCTTCCCTGAGGACTGTCATTAGCATACATTTTATATGCGGATCATTGCGAAATTGTAGTGCATACCGTCGTGTATGTTCTCACGTTGTGAATTCCACTCCCTCGTCATCCGGCCAATAAGCCAAGAGTTGTATGGTATAATACATTCTGTTCACATCCGTCGTCATAGCACACAATACGATTCGAGAAGCGACCGTCAAACTGTTGTAACACACAATCGACGATGAGCGGCCAGATCAGGCGTATTGGACGCAAAATCACGTTGCCACCAACGTTTGTCTTTCGAGGCAACGGACAAGTACTCACCACGGGAGTGTGCGACTTTGAGGATGTACGTCAGGGGAGACCCCAGACTATTGGTGGAATCGACCTGGTGCAGCGAAACGATCCCAGAATCATCGTCGCAGACCTCTTCCTCGATGCCCTGTCAACGATCAGATATCGCATTGTGCACGGGCTAGCAGGTGAGGCAATGCACCATTATCACGCAATTCCGTGGACAATCGTATGTTCCACAATAGATCAGGAACACAAAGAAGGACACACATCCGACGAAGAGCTCTTGCGCGGTCTGCGCACACAAACATTCCGTAGTGTCTTGCCTGAGAACCAAAAGGCGGTGTTCTCGGAAGGCCGCGTGCCGACGCCGCTACAGGGAGTCTTCAGCTGTGCGTGTGTTTGCTTTTCTCGTTGTTGCTCCGCCTGTGTCGCCTCTAGTCCTTCCTAGACAGTATTTCTGCATGGCGAGTCGAGCGAGACGCGCTGGCGCAGTGCACAGATCATCTCGATCAAATATCCGATCGACTCGGCTGCTGCCGGAGGCTCCCCACGTCGACTCGGAGGGGCAAGGTCGAGTCGCATCTTACTCTTTGTATGTTTCTCTGCCTTGCCAGCGGCTCATCAAGTCTCACAATGCTGCCGACGCTACAATAAGATGTCATTCACTGCTGCCAACTATGCTAGCCCGTTCCATTGCAATCGCGGTCGGATCACGGTATCAAAAGCAAGCAACTACCGCGAGCCAGCCTGTCAGGACTTGCGGTTCGACGTCAGGAACAGACAGCCGTGCGCCATAATTTGGCATCGTGCGCAGATGAGCACCGAAGGGCCCTCCTCGCCTCTCATGGCATTTGTCGCCGAATGTCTCTGCCGTGGGCTGCATGCGCCACGTTCGCTGCGGGATAGACCTGTGCTGAGGTCCAGATCAAGCAGGTATGATCCTGTCCTGCGCCTCTATGACGTGCGTGCTCTCTTCTTTGCCGTCCCCTCAGGGGAAGCCGTGTTTTCGTCTTTGGCACGCGGCGTCCCTTTGCGCTTGAGATCTGGCCGTGTTGAGGCAGGTCATTCACTCCCGTGTTGGCTCTGTCAAAGACGAAGACGCGTGTCAGCGGAAGTCGGTTTCATCGCGGAGACAACGCTCATGGATATTGAGCGCGTTTCGGCGGGAAATACGTACCGAGGTGGACTGTCGATCACATTCTCATCATTCGTCTTGCTTATGGTCTGTGTGGACACCTGAGCATCAGTGCTTGAGCCATGGGTCGCGCCTGAAAGTATGCATCAGCACACTAAAATAAGAGTCGCGTGAAAAGTCTCACCAATTTCGTCCTAAGTAGTATTTGTCGCATTGGCCTTTTCGAGTAGCCTCGCGCTGCGACGCGTTGGCTGTGTCTCCGCCTGTGCTCGTGGACCCTTGGCGCGAGCGGCGGACCTCTTGGACTTTGCCTTGGATGCGACTAGCTTAGGCGGGATTGATTGTTTGGGGCCATTGGCCATCCGCCGCAGCCTAGGGGGCAGGTTCCGGTGCTCATTGTCGCTGTCGGTCGCATGCAAGGGCATCTTGCCCAGCATGCGACGCAGCCTGCACGGCACATGTCGACGCGGTCGGTTTTTTGTGCCATCCCCATCTGTTGCGGGTGGTGTCTGTGGCGCAAGGTGCGTCATGTACAGCTCGAGCGTCGTGGGGATTGTTGTCTGCATGTTCTTTAGTGCTCGGCAGATGGTGTGTTGAAGTGTGGGTGGGTCGAGAGTGTGAGGTCGGATATCTGTGGCTGAGGCAGGCTGTGTGGTCTTGTATGTGTTTGAACCGGTCACGGGATCGTCACTGAAAGGTGCCTCTCGCTGACCGTTCCTTTATTCTAGTCTGCGCACGCGAGACCGGTACAATGTACCAATACATTTACCATGGACGCGTAATGCAAGTTTTCATGGGGCGTCTTCTTTCGATCACAAATTGTCCTTTCACTCGCCTTGTAATTTTATCGAAGCGAGAGCGGCTTCGCGCTGATGTCCCATGATTCACGAGATTGTATAGTAATTTTGGCCTCCACCTAGGTAGTCCAAGTCGCTCGTGCCACAGCCGTTGCAGCACATCGACGTTATCGTCCCACTCAGACGCTGGTGGTCTGTTAGGGTTTGGCATGTGCTCGACAAAGACGACGAAATATTCGGCGCAGAAACGACGTCCCCGCTTGACAAATGACATAGGTTCACTTTCAGACCTCGCAGAGCAGACGGCAGCATTCTGACAAGCCCAATCC